TATTCATTGGTATCTGTTCATCCATTAGGTAGCAGCTCTTAAAAGTTAGAAAACCAACAGCTAGCAGAAATAGTCTATTAGGGCATGAATCCAAAATAGATCCCTCAGGGATAATGAATCCAGTTTACATGATGGGAAAATGTGAAGAGTCATTAATTCATATTATTCTGGTTGCTCTTCTATCAACTGTCGGGAAAACAAATTCTCTAAGCAACACTCTCTCTTCAGCATGGAGAGAAAGATACTAGCATTGTAGCTGGGGCTCAAACATTAATAATGAACCTGAATGAGGAATAATTTCGAAAGAACCCAAACGACAAAAGGCAGTGGAGAGTGAAAACTCAAATGTTGCCAGATGTTATCTGATTAGATATCCATTTCCATTGTCCTCTATCAAAATGGTGCACGAATTGCTGATGTGAGGTCTATGACCTCTGTGGTGGGACTGAGTTTGCACCACAAGTCAGTGGCTCAGCATTTTCTTTCTTCTTTATAAAACAGCACACAACAGAGGGCAGAGGAAAACAATTTTTGCTGCTAGAAATTACTTAAGCCTGTTGAAATACTGCCCAGTCAGAAGTGTCACCCCATCAACTCACCCATGACTTCTATTTACCAATAGTTTTCCTCTCAAAATCCTTGTCTTCGGAATCCTGCGTTAGAAGAACAATCTTGAAGCCTACTTCAAACCCTTAAGTTCTTTCAAGTGCCAACTCCAAAATTAACATAAATGCTGCACATTGATTTTGTTGTTCACACACACACACACACACACACACACACACACACACACACACACACACACTGGAATTTGCAGCAATCGCCTGCAATCTAGGCAGAAAGCAGTCACCTAGTTGCGCTCTGTGCTTCCCTCATCTAAGATCCTACCACCACCAAGCCAGATAAATAGTGGTGAGAGCTGGCTTCCCCATTGACAATTCCATGCCATCACGTGCTCAGTCTACGATAGTTTCCACATCTGTTCCCTCTGGTTCATGCCGCTCTGAGCAATGTTGCCAAATGAACCTTCAGCACAAGCCACGGTTTCCCCATAGCTCCATTTCCTTTTCCACAGCATACTCTGCTTCCACTCGGTTCTATAGACAAAGCCCATAAAGGACCTCGTATTTCAGAGGGATCAAGTTGGTGTGACTTAGATACAGAGTGTGTGAGTGAGACAGAAAAAGAGAGAGGAGGCAGAATACAAAAAGAAACAGGGAAGACAAAGAGGGGAAAAGAGAGAGGTACAGCTCTGTGCCTCACACATACATATGAGTGGAAACTCCTTTTCCTCCTGGCAGCTTTGGGGATGAGTGAATCATGTGTTTCATACACATCCTAATGACTTAGAGCCCACTGTTTTCACAGTCAAGAATGGCCATCCCATGAACCACACAGAATGACTCATTGTCTTCATGACCACCCACTGCTTGCATGCACACACTGTCATTCTGAGTCACAGCAATTCGGCTTTTCCAGATTCAGTTTCTGTACATAAAATCCACAGCAGACTTCATTGTAGGCAACTGAGCGAGTCAGAAATATCTTCTGCTTACAAGCATTAGTTCTGAAAACACAAGTAAGTGTCTTTGTCCAGCTAGAATTTTAATACATGTGGTTTGATTGTAACCCAGTGTCCCATTTTTGTTGTAGAACCAGTATAGGAAAACTGAGGATAACAAAAGGAAAACCTGTGTTAAAACTAAAAGGAACCATAAAATTAAAATTATAAAGCATTAACCACAGCCTCAAGTACTCAAGTAAAATCTGTTTGGAGAATCTAGATCAACTAACCAAAGTAATTGCCATCAGTGTAAACTAGGCCTTGATTCAATTCCCTATTTTAATATGACTGGCTAATTCACTCTACACAATTCTAAGAGGTTTGGAATGAGGGAGAGAGGAAAACACAATACTGTAGGAAGGTCAGGGTGTTTCCAAAGACTGACTCTGGTGCCATCTGCTAGTGATAAGGCAGTTACCAAACTCTGCTCTAATTTAATTTTCTGTGTTTGAAAACGAAAGTCACAGATGAGCCAGTCCTGGAAAGATGATAATGAATTGAACTATAAAGACCACAATGGTAGGGTCTTGCAATTTTCCAGTACATCTTAAGAAAATAAATAACTAAACTAATTAAGACCACAATAATTCAATAAAAGTCACTCAAAATAACACAATTGTAAGCATTATTTGACTTTAAAATTTTTACCCATGGCATTCCCTCAAAGAAGGCTCTAAGTAATGAATGTCTAAAGTCTAACTGGGGTGGACGTGCTCCCAAACAGAGGCCTCTGTTGTGATAGAGCCCTCTACCATGGTCAGGAATACCACGGGATGGAATCAGTACCACCATGCCAAGGAATTCAAGAAAGGCCCTTGCTTTCCTACCAACAACAAGCAAACACTGCACTATGCAATGGAAATGAGGACCTGACGAGAGACCATCACAATTAATACTCAAAAAGAGAAACCTGGCAACTGACACTAATTGGAATGGAGAATGATACTGAATTGTAGTGCTCCTAAAATTTAGGGGTTGTGCCATTTGTAAACAACGCCTTAAAGTTCTTTTTCTTAAACTGGTCCCTAGCAGCTTTTTCAAAGCTGGTCTCTAGCAGACAACCTAATCTGTTGTGTCAAGGAAACAAGACCAATAACTACATATACAAATGAAACAACAAATAATGTTGAAATGGAAACTGATAAGATTGAGAGCTGTGTCTGAAGTATATGAAGAAACAATACTGATCATGTAAGTACTCTTTTAAATTACGTTTTTAAAAGGATTTGTGGTTCTTGCCCGCAGTGGTTCTTGTTACTTCCTTTCAGTTTTCGTATTTTGTGGTACTCGGGTTTGAAAGCAGGGTCCCATCGATGTAAGGCTGGCACACCACTCCTGAGCTGTGTCCCTTCCCTGGACATTGGTTTGGTTTGTATGTGTCTCTAAAGAGCTTATGGTTGAAGGTGTGGAGCTAGCCTGTAGAGAGCTGGTGGAGCCTTTAAGAAGCGAGGTATAATAGGAGGAAGTCAAGCCATCAGGGACATGCCCTTGAAGATGCTGTTGGGATCCTAGACCCTTCCCTCTCTCTGTCACCCTGAGGTAAGCAGCTTTACTCTGCCATCATGACTTCCTGCCTTACCACAGACGCAACAGCAACAGACCCAGGTGACCAGGGACTGAAACCTCTGAAACTTTGACCCAACCATATCTTTCCTCTGTGTAAATTGGTTCCCTCGGTTTTTTTCCATAACAACAGAAAACTGATGAAAGATGATCTATAATTTCAATATTTCTAGACCCAATTTCCCCTTTTATCTCCACCTTATCCTCCAACTACCTAGTGAACACTTCTACCTAGATATCCTACCTACCTTGAATTCTTGGTTTCTTCAAAAGTATTCCACTTTCTCCTTGTATCTCCCGTATGTTTCCATCAGGTTCTTTGTCATCCCAGTCAGAAACCCAATACTTAAGTCCTGATCTTTCCCAACCCAAGCACAAACTCTCTCCAAATCTAGCATATTCTCACTTCTGCAAATAACTGTCTTATTCTGTTCCTTACTGCTCCTATTAAAATTCTATATCTCCAAAATATTCCCTAGATTATTCCAAAATTGATCTTCCTGTTTTTCATTCTTGTTAAGTCCCCTTGGATTCTCTTTGCTCACCATAGAGTAACACACCTAAAATGCCTATGACTTCTAGATTAAAGCACTCCAGGGTTTCGGTGCTTCCCTCTCACTACACACACACACACACATACACACACACACACACACACACACACACACACACACACACACAGACACACGGATTCCAGGTTCCACATTGATGTACAATCTGCAACTTTCCCTTTGGGGTTGCACTGCTCCTGCCTGCGGTAACCTCTCTACCTCTGCTATTTCTTCAGCTCATTTCTGTTCATCTTTCAAAAACAATTTCAGGGTTCATCTCCAGGAGTCTGCTTTATCATACACCATCCTCCAGATTTGGGGTACATTAGATGCTTGTAGCAGCCTTTCATGGTCCATCAATATGCTTATATCCTACTGGAGTTAGTCATACTTTTTTATAGTTGTGTCACTAACATTTGAGAGGTACTTGTTGAGTGCTCACTACTGTTGCTTTATGAGAAAATAGCAAAGTTAATTGATAAATTCTGGGGGGGGACACATTGAAAGGTTTGAGAGTATTTTGAAAGGATATAAATAATTGTAACTAATACTGATTAGTTTTATTATTATATTACAGCATGATTTCATATAAGCTAAGCCATTTATGCCTTAGAAAGCCAAGGATGGCATGTATAAAGACTGATAGACCGTAGCTACATAAATATTTTTAGAAATAAAACAATACTACTGTGCTTTCTTTGCTTTGATTGTTTTCTTTTTGAGGGGGGTAGAGTTGTTTAATTTTAGACACTCTCACTGTGTATCTCTGGCTGGCCTGGAACTATGCAGACCAGATTGACATTTAACTCACAGCATTTTGATTGCCTCTGCTTTGAGTGCTAGGATTAAAGGTGTGCTAGGATTAAAGGTGTGCTAGGATTAAAGGTGTGCTAGGATTAAAGGTATGCTAGGATTAAAGGTATGCTAGGATTAAAGGTGTGCTAGGATTAAAGGTATGCTAGGATTAAAGGTGTGCTACCACAAACAGCTATATTGTGGTCTTCTGTTGCTGTTGCTTTAGGGGTGTGCATAAGTGTGTGTGTGTGTGTGTGTGTGTGTGTGTGTGTAGTAGAGAGAGAAAGAGAGAGTATAGAATATACACAAACACACTCAAGTACATCTTTGTAGATCAAAGTTTCACATAAAATAATTTCCAATTTGGTTAAAATAGCCAATTCATTTATAACTAAAACTTCTCCCCCAAAGAAAAACTCTTCATTACATACAGAGAATTCTCAGGAACATTCTTTGAAGAGTGTGGATTATGCCAGGCAGACCCACTAATCTAATTTCTAAGGACAGAAAGAGTCATTTATTCTCACCGTCAGAAGAACCACTGCTCAGGAGTCTCCAAGGCGTCCCTGATTTCTTGGCCACAGCCTTCAGCAAGCAGAGGTAATGGGAGTCACTGGAGAATATCACAGAAATCCCTGAGAAGTGAAAAAAAAACACAAAGGAATGTAAACTATTGGAGGTCAGTTAATTCTATTAAGCTGAGACTTCCTTTTTATTATTAACCTAAAATAAACAAGGGAACTTAATACATATGAAATTCTATGATAAGTTTCAACCGAACATTATTGGATTTCCAGGCATTAGTAATTCTAAGAACTTTAAGCAATTTAAGGGACAAGGGTAATGAAAAAGGGGTAACTTAATTCCAATTACATCTCAGTGTGGCAGAGAAATGTGAATTACTTCTACATAGAAGCAAACAACTGTGCACACTAATCAAAACAGAAAAATAAAGAACTTGATCTTATCCTCTACTAGTTCGTGGCAATACATTGTTTTTACAAACACATCAACACATTAGAAGAATTAACAGGCTGGAAAGAACAACGAAGAAATCAGCATTTGATCAGAGCTGACAATGTCAGAGAGTTCAGCAATACAATTCCATTTTAGAGGTGGTTTTGAAGGTGATGAGCAAAGATGGAAATCAGAAATAAAGGGGTTGCTGAGCACATTGTAGTAAGAAAAAAAACAGGTAAGGTAATATGGAACTAAACAGAACAAAATCTTAATTAAATGGAATTCAACAAGCAGGAGTGTTTGAATTGTGTGTTTATTTAATATGTCTATCAGAAAGAGTAAAAAGAACAGACAGGGTTGCTTAGAAAGTTGCTGTTACCAGAACTACAGCCCACAGAGAGAAGACTGAAGCTGGGCACCCCAGACCTTTTCCCAGGAATAGAATGAACTTGGACTTGCTAAGTGCCCCTCCACCCCAACTGCTCTCTAGATAGAGTTAAAGACAATACTGTTGGGGTGGGCAGGCTGGGAAGACAGCTCAGTGGAAATGCATGCAGGGTGAGGACCTGAGTTTGAATACCTAGAACCATGTTAAGCTGCCCATAGCAGTGGTGTGTCTGTAATCCCACAACTCCTACAGTGACATGGGAGGTGGAGACAGAAATCCCCCACAACCTCTAAATCCAAACCTGGCACTTGTAGCCACGGACAAAAGTCCCCATCTCAATAAAAGTGCAAGGCAAGGGTCCAAACTTCAGATGTCCTCTGACTTTGTCATCTGTTTGTCTTTTCGTGTCAACTCACTTTTACATTGAAAAGTAGAAACAGAAGCATCCCTGCCCAGTGCTTTTGGATTTTGTCTGCATGTGTTTGTCAGAGGGTTAATAAAGGCTGAATACTGAATACTGAGCACTGTTTCAGCTCAGACAATTATCAGAAGAGTCATCACCAAAATCTGCCCTACATGACTCAGTCCATCTGATGTCTGAATTTAAATGTGGCACTGGCATCTTGGGAATGTCCTCTGCAATATCTTCAGATGATAAGCACTCTTATACTTATGTTCCTTATCTGAAAGAAGGATCTGTGCTGCAGCTTGCTGATACATCTCATTTATACTACATAAATCATTCCCTTTCTTGAATAGCATTGCTATTGACTATAACAAAATCTAATTTATAAAATTTCACACATTAAATTGACTTTGGTTAAGAAGATAATGCCAAACATTACTGTCTCTGGAATCTGAGCATATTTTAATTCCATTGCATTACAATTATCTCCAGGGCTCTTTTGTAACATAAAAGGGTGATTTTCATTAGATGGTGCTGGAAAGAAATGAAACACTGGTAAGAAAAATGAAAACAGAGGTGATGGAGGCTGGAAGGTCACTGAGTCTAACCATCTCTCTGCCTGTGGTCCATTCTATGCTTAGGAAGCTCCACATGGAACTGAATCTCTCATCTTGTATTTGTACCTCATGTACCTCACTGGTGCCAATTCAGTCCCCAGGAGCCATACTCAGACTTGCATTCTAATGTGAGCATATCAGTAATAGGTCACTGTCCAGAAAAAGAAGGATGAGCTGTTTCTTTAGCAGAGCCAGCCAATGGTGGGGGTCACGGGTTGAGGAGCGCCTATGAGGTGGCTTCACAAAGAGTCTCTGTCCTAGAAAGGTGACAATAGACAAGTTAATCAAGTTGACTTGCTCTGGAGTTTGGGTAGTATACTGAGGACACAGGAGAACCTATGCAGAAGGAAGCAGAAAAGAGAGAAGAGCATGGGAAGCAGGCCATGTCTGAGGTTATCTCAACCTGTCAGCTTCCCACCTTCCAGAACTAAGCAGGAACTGTGGAATGAGTCCTTCTTGCTTAGGATGCCCTGGTGATTAACATCTCTCTTATCGCCTCCATAGGTCTTTTTGTTAGAATTCTTAGATTTCACATCCATTGTACACAAAGCATTTGGCATGCCAATTCTGGTCTTACAGAATAGGTGTTATAGCCTTCACCTTCATACCATCCACAAATGAGAGAACATAGTCTAGAATGGCATTCACACTTACAATGGCATAAAAAGAATAAATACCAACTGGATAATAAACAAAGACAAACATATTTTCTTTTCTTAAATTTATTTCTCATTTTACATGCCAAGCCCAGTTCCCCCTCCCTCCTCTTCTCCTGCCCCCCCTCACTGCCCCCCTTCCCACCCCCATCCATTCCTCAGAAGAAATAAGGCCTTCCTTGGAGAATCAACAAAGTCTGGCATACCAAGATGAGGCAGGACCAAGCCTCTCCCCACTGTATCAAGACTGAGCAAGGTATCCAACCACAGGGAATGGACTCCAAAATGCCAGTTCATACACCTGGGATTAGGTCATATAGCTGACACCCACATTCAGAGGGCCTAGTTTGGTCCTGTGCAGGTTCACCAATACACAGAGGTATTATGGGATTAGGAAGAAACCTGGTACTAGAGACATTCTCAGGAATCCATGGGATGAGCCCTGCTAAGATTCCTAGCAAGAGTGGAGAGACTGTCAGAACAGGCCTTCCCTTTAATTGGATTAGTGACTACCCTAATTGTCATCATAGAGCCTACATCCAGTAACTGATGGAAGCAGATACAGTGACCCACATCCAAGCACTGGAATTTGGTAGAAGAGAGGGAGGAGATATCATATGAGTAAAAGGGGGTCAAGATCATGATGGAGAAAACCACAGAGACAGCTGATCCTAGCTAGAGGGAGCTCACAGACTATGGACAAATGTATTTTCATGTCTTAGTTGTTACTAAAAGTGCATAATTACTAACAATATCATCCTGATGATATAAAATGCTATTTAAACTGATAAAAGTTTCAACACTTAACTAATTTAAGACGGGAAAACCCAGAAGAATTATGTCTGAACAACAGAAGAGAAAATAAGGCTGTATCTGAGAAAACTGTCAGCCTGAACTTCATGGTTATAGTAATCACCTGTGCGGTGGACCAAGAAGCCGTTTTTGAGAAACATATTGCAGAAACAGAGCCAGGTTAGTTTCAGCCTTCCCTGAGGCAATCATGGAAATTAGAAGAATCTGTCATTTTAGATCATCTATCTGGTATGCCCCTGCCAGAGTGCAATCGTTTTCCTCAGATATCAACTGTGTTGTCTAATGTAGCTTTCAGTAAGCCTTGTGGGATCTCCCATTTCAGTAAAAGGCCCTGTGGTCATTTTAAGTTCCATGTCTGCTTTTCTCAGTTCTGTCTTCAGACCCTCTGACAAGCTGGACAGTTCCCAGAAAAGCCCGGTCCATCCTTCCTGGTCTGACTGGAAAGCTCTGGTCCTTCCCCAGCTGGTTCTCACTGCTGGTCCAGCCAACAGTGAAAGCATATGAGGAGGTATGGCTGTAAGTCAGTTGGGAAAGTGCTTACCTTAAAAGCGCTAGGGTGCGAGTTCAATCCCAAAAGCTCACTTTAAAGGAAGCTGGGTGTAGTGACACATGCACACAGTCTCAGGTACATAGCTGAAATTTACTGACCAGCTAGACTGGCCTATTTGGAGAGTTCCTGGTCTCAATGAAAACTAACACAAAATAAAAGAATGCCTTGTGTCCAAGGCATGACCCCTGAGGTTGTCCTCTGACCTCCACATGCATGCAAGCACATATTCACCCAACACACATGAACATCCGTACACAGAAATGCACATAAGTGTGTGCATGGATTTCACACCATCAGTGTTGATGAGGCAGAGGCCTTCCTGACATGTCTCTTTTTTCTCGACTGTGTTGAATTATTCAATCACTTATACTACAATGCTTCCTATAGATTTGTAAGGGTGAGGTCATGCTACAAGTCATAAAACATGTCTGTGCTGGAAATAAGAGTCAGCATTTTCTGATAAAATCAGATATAATAACATTTTGTGCTCAAGAGCACTTTGAGGTTTTTTTTTTCCAGTTACTCTCACCTAATACTGAAAACCAACTGCCCTTCTCTCCAGATTACAAAGGAACATCCCTGCTCTCACTCCTTGCTTCATAGCAACCCAGCAGGCACCCCCTCTTGACCCAAGTGCTCTGCTGCCAGGGCAACAAATAGGCTGAAGGCAGATCCACACTGTCCCTCCAGATGCCATCTCCCCTGTCTCATCCCCAGCTCTGTAGAGCACCTGCTGCAGCCTCCCTTTCCTCTCTGACCACATCCCCAAGGAATCACAGAGATCTTACCCTCCAACATTTCTTCCCCCAACTCATCTCAGTATCCTTGGCCTCTGACACCAGCAAGCATTCCCTGTGAGCACACCAGCTGAACAGGCCAGGAAAACAGGTAAGATACCTGAAGACTTTCACCATCCTCTCCTTTCCTCCAAAACCAGTCCCCCAAACCCAGCCTTATCTCTGCAACAGAACACCAGCTGTAGTATTCCTTCCTTCCTCCTCTGCCACATCTCCTATGGATCCCACAGACCTTTCCCTCCTAACAGCCCCCTCTCCACTTGTTGCTTTCTCCCAGCCCCAACTCCCACACTCCCTGATAACACGCAGACAACTCCAGCCAGGGAGATAGGTATGCTATCTATAGGTTGTCCTCTCTCCTTCGGTTCCTCTAGATCCAACACCCCGTTCTCAGATCCTCTGGGGTGACCTCTCTTCATTGTCTCCCTTATTCCAAGGAGACAAAATA